ATAGTTCAGTGTACTGAACGCGACCGGACGTGTAGCGACAACTTGGGCTACTTTAGCCTTTAACGCAATAGAAAAAATTGGCAAAAACCAGAGCTTCGACTTCCTTAATTCGGAGTGTCAGTTCACCTCATCTACATTTAGATGAGACAAACCTTAGCTAGCAGCCTGGTCGAGCTCCCTCAGGACGTGAATGAGACCTATGGGCTCTGGGAGCAATTGTTTTCACAGGCAGCTTAGTCTTCCAAGCTCAGGAATCCCTTCCGGATATTTTTCTTCATTATGCAAGCCTTTTCCATCATTTTTCCATCTGCTTAGTTTCTTCTGGTTTAGGGGTGTGGTTTTTTTCTAGGCTACAAAGCTGCCACTACCTGCTATGGAGGAGGGAGTCCAAAGTCTGGTTCCTGGCAAACGGTACCCTGGTAGCCGGAGCTTCAGTGAAAACCACTTGCTGTGTCATTGCTATGTGTGCACTGGCTAATTTGCTCTAACTACTTTAAAAAGATTAATCGATTGGCTTGAAAAATTAAGGTGATTATAGTTGAATTTTCTACCATAAGAGAACAAACCATATTGTACTGCTAATAATAAGGCAGGATAAAAAAACTGTACACAGTTCTGGGTGGTTTTCTCACATTTTATTCACAATTTGAATCTGTTGCCTCACTCAAAAGCTTCACTGGAAAGATGATGACGTTTAAGACATTGGTAGTTACAATACATGTGTGGACAAATACAAACTATTTTTGTAGAAACAAAGATAGATCTTTGCTATTTTGATGTTGATTACTCGGGTGGGTTTCCGCTGTGGTCTCCATTTGACCTTGACACTGCGCAGCGAGCCCGTGCTCTTCTGTTTCCTCGGAGGAGAGCAGCTTCTAGCCTCACTGCATCACTAACAGAAAGTGAAAGCTCTGCGAGCTTCACATAAGCCGTGGGAGCTTCAGGACATTATTCTTTCTCTTCTCCTTTCCTGGCTCAGATTTTTCTCTCCTCAAAGTAAGAGAAGGCAGAAAATGGATAAGTTACGCGAGGCCCTGGATTTCTGCATCCGCCACCAGACCGTTCTGGGTTACAGCGTTGTGTCCCTGCTGACAGCTATCAGTGAGCACATCTTCTCGTCCGTGCTGTTCAAGTGTCCCTGCAATTCGGGAAACATGCTGTATGGCCTCGTCTTTCTCCTAGTGCCTGCCTTCATCCTCTTTCTGCTTGGCTACCTGATGAACCCCAGGACCCGGCACCTGCTGACAGGCACCTGCTCTCAGAGGAAGTGCAGACTCTGGGGAACCCGCACCGAATACTGCCTCGCGCTGATACCGGTGACAGCCAGAGCCTCGGTGGCCCCCCTCACCTGGGTCGCGGTGGCCCTCCTCAGAGCCAGCTTCTACGAGTGCGCGGCCAGCGGGAACGGCCTGATAAAGAACCTCGTCTGTAAGGATAAAGGACAAGAGTGTCACAAGCTGCTGGTCAAAATACCCTGTGATCAGAAGTTATCAGAGATGGTATCAAGTGAATTCCTCAGCCTTCAGGCACAGTCCCAGGTAAAGTCTCACCACTCTTCTCGTCACCCTACGGGCTTCAACTGCTGGGGACTGTAAAGAGTCCTCCTTTCTCACACTATACAATTACCAAAAGTACACGATTAGCCAAAATTCATTAGCAAAAAAAAACACTGCCAGAAAGGTAGTAAGTGCATATTTGTGCAATTTTCTGGCTCTGCATGGCGATTGTTTGGCACTGCCATTTACAAAATCTCTTTCAAAGCTGGGCAGGGAACCAGCCTAGAGACCAGGACTTTCCACAGCACGTTTTCTTCTCATCTAACTTAGGCGTGGTGTGAGTTCTTCTCTTTTTCCATTTTTACCCCTCTAAATACCTCCAACATTTGTAAGTGCGCATTAGCTGAGGGGAAGCGGAGGTCACGAGTAGAGAGGAAGCTGATGTCTCGTTGCAGCAGAGAACTGGCAAGTGAAAAAAATAAGGACAGCTTGTTTGACTACGAATCTCAATGCTTGAAGCTATTAATAATTTCACACTTGTATTCTAGAAGAATAGTTAAAATACGTATCTGTCTTGTTAAAGTGTTCTTGTGCTGAAGGCAAACTACATGATCAAAAAAATAGCACTTATGGGTGGATTTTTTTGTTCAGAGTGAAATGAAACCCCCAGATTTTGGCAGAACTCCAGTATTGTTTCCAGGTTTGTTTGGTCATTGTCTTAACTGCAGTAGAAAAATCAGGTTTCATCACTTTTTCTCAGGAAAACTTTAAGGCTAGTTAATGGAGTTATGTTTATAAGAGATTATAATTACTTGGATTTTTTGTAAGTTCCTGCTTAGTACAAATGATTATTAAAACAAAAAAAGTGTTTACATTTGTTAAATATTTAGGATGCTGCTCCTCCAAGAAAAAGGCTGAAAAGGGGCAAACTCTATACCTTTGCATTCAGATAGGGTAAGAAAGGAGCAAAACCGAGGAAGACTGACTGTTACTGATATTGTGACGAAATCCAAAAGAAACAAACCAGTCAAACAAAAACAGAAAAAGTGTGAGAGCATTTTTATTACTGACAATTATTTTTAATATCTGATCTACTTTCACAAAATCAAGAACCAAAAAGAACACCAACTCATTTTTCTTTAGCACTCAATGTTTTTCACCCCCCAAAAAATCAGCCTGAGGTGAAAGGGGACACTGTGAGATCTCTGCCTGGAGCTTCCAGCTAAGTACCACTGGGTACTGGAGGGACCAGCGAGGACACCCGCTTTAGGTGGGGCCTCTGAGGCTTACCCGGGGATGTTAAAATCATGAAACAAAAATGAATTCCCATATTCAATAAGTCAAATCCGTGTCCTGCCTACAAAACTTACAGGACACAACTTTCCCCGTGTGCTGTGGCAACTGGCTGTTTTTTGCGGGCTGAGACAATCAGGGAGAGCAGCTGCTTTCCAAGGGCGGATGACACGCGGTCGGCAGGTCGCATGTGCGGTGCCCGAGGCAGGCAGGGCCATTCTGCACCCTCCGTACAGCACGTCTGACCGCAACTGCAGATACTGCCAGTCAGTATCTTGCCTTTCAAGTTAAAAAAGTTGGATATAACTGAGGAAAGCACTTCACCTTCTCTTTTTTTTTGGTATTCATCCTCAATCCAACCGGATCAGCTCAGGGGTGCAGAGCTCTGTAAGGCTGGCTGAAGTGGGTGCATGGGATCCCCTCTTTCTGCAGCGAGCAGACGTTACAGGCACTCCAGGGTGTCTTCGTTTACAGTTTCCACGTCCACTTTCACGTCTGCTTCAATGTTAAGTTGTACACTCCTACACAGACCGTGCAAAACCACCATTAACCCACCTATCTGTCTCCCAAGGTGGTAGGATGGCTGCTGATAGCCAGCATCATGGCTGTGGCGCTGATCGCAAGGTGTGCCAGCCACTGTTGCTCCCCGGTTAGCTACCCTCGGCTCACGTTCTGGGAAATCTACTTGAAAAAGGAAGAGGAGCTCTTTAAGATCGAGGCTAAAAAGCAAGCAACCAAGCTGGCAGAAAGAAATATAAATTGCTTTTTTGAAGGCACTGCCCCAGCGCAGTTTCAGTCTCCCAGCAGCGAAGACTGGCAGAGTATTTCATACTTGTACACCTTCAGTGAGGAAGAGCAGTATTACAGCATGATGCACAAGCACGTCAGCACAAAGGAAGGCAACAACGTTAGACCCAGGGAAGGAGACCAGAATCCCACTGCTTTAGAAACTGTGGATGAAGCAAGTGCAAGCGAATCAGGGTTTTAACGAAACAAACCCTTTGCGATGCTGGCGATCTTTTAACCCCACTGGTATAAGAGTCTTATTCTTTGCTCGTACTGAAATCTATGCGAATTGTATGTAAAAGCTGATAGTTGTAACCCTCAGCAGGTTGGGTTTTAAACAGGCTTTATTAATTTTGCGTAAACACATTTGAATAAATATATCTGTCACAATGGGAGTCTTCCTATGTTGTTGTTCGTTGAGAAGAGCCACCTGTGTAAAACAATCAGCAGCCACAAAGGTGTCAACACCTACTATGTCAAATTACTAACAAACACCTTAAGGGCATTTAGCGGCTGGAATGACAATACCAAACTTTCATACCTGGCAGTTATCAAAGAGACAAAAAGGAACGGAAGTTTTCACCAGAAATTCAGCTTATTTTATTAGCTCCCACTTGACAATATATCTTTCACTGGAGCCTAGAGCAAGTTCTAGACTAAAATAGTTACTTTCAGTCAATTAGTTTCTGAAGGCAAGGACTGTATCTTTTAAAATCTGGGAAGCAATTAGCATTTTGGAGCTACCTGTGCGTGACAAAGGAGTCCGCGGGAATGACTTCAGCTGCCTGTCAGTCTGAATAGATGAGCAAAAAGACTCCAGCCATTTTAGCCCTATACGCTCAGCAGTTTTAGGTAATAACAGTGAAACTGAAAACTTCCATGGTGGTGAATTAGCTCTACTGCTCAGTTCCTGTAATTGTAAAGCTCTTTAATGGAAAAAAATAGGCATTTGAATGCTGCAGGGAAAACACACCAACATTAAACTTCCTGTTTATATTCCCTTTATATTTTTTCTGAAAAATACATCATTATTATGGGTTTTTTTAATATATAATATTAAATTTAGGGCTGTGGTCCTAGCATCAGTACCTAAGCTACACCTGGATATCTCTGCCAAATATGCTATTTAACTTGACCAGAAAGGAATCTAAATGCAAATTAGCATGTCTTGAGAGGTTAGGCTTATGCATAACATGGCAGTATAGCTGAAGCTTATATTAACAAACATTTACAGCATAGCTACGTTCTTGCTCAGCGCTCTTTTCCTTCCAAGAAACTTGATGATAACAGAGTACCAAGTGTCCAGTTTCTTACCAACTCCAGTTTCTGTGCCTCCAGAAAACATGGTTCAGTTAAAAATGTTCCATTTTACATCTCATATTAAAGAGTTCATTTGTTCATTGATGTCTAGAGAAAAATAAGTCTACTCTGGAATGTCATAAATGGGAAGGAATCAGTGTCCTGGCCCCACTGTGATCAGTGCCAAAACGCTTCTTGACACAGTGGGGCCAGGCTTCACCTTAGCGATATAAATAAAAATAAAATAAAATAAAATAAAATAAAATACTTCAGGGTAGACTGAAAGTCTCCAGGAACACGCCATGCCTTATTTCATTTGCTGATGGGAAGCTGCAGTGAAGACACCCTCAGAATTCCTGTTAATCCTCTCAGTTGCATCTGGGTGGGCTTTTGCCACTTCCCACTCACGGTCACGACTGCCAGGGTCTTATTACAAAAGCTGCCTCGGCTTTCCAGGGAAGACACGGAGCCAGCACTTCTAATTAAAATCAATGAGCAAAGGCTCTAAATGGGACTGCAATACATATCTTCAAGTTTGTAGGCACTGATGGCGGTCTATTTTCCACAGATGAAGTGACTTTTGGGGGAAGGAAAAAATTTGTATCTATGTATAAGGATAGAAGCAGATATTTATATATTGGTTTTGTATGCAGTCATGTTTGAACTTTGATTTTTCCTCAGCTTTATGTAACACTCATATCTTCTGTACGTAATTACATTTATAACAAAAGAAATTTCAAAGAGAAGCTTCAGCACACTTGTGAGTGCTCCGTTAGCCACCTTCAAAAGAAGGGCCTACACTAAAATGAAATACTGAACAACACTTCTGTGAATATGCTACCAAGCCAGACAAGCAAAACACTGTATGTGCATAGGGTAGTTTATGTTAGCAACTAACAGTAACATCGTGTGGGACAGTATTTTTTCAGTTGTTTATTACCGCTTTTCTACCTAGTATTTATTTACTCCATCTTTAGAATACAATGGGCAAAGTGATCCAGTGTAGGAAGAAAATAAAAAAAACACAGACAGCGTAACAGCTGAGCCGAGAGGAGTGATTGCTGCACAACCAGACGCAGAAGCGTGTTACGACACGAGTGTGAACCAGCACGCAGTCTAAGTCCGGCAGTCTCATGTCGCCTCTTGCCTCCATCTCAAGTCTGTGCTGCCTTGACTGGCTCAGGCGTTTTCATGTCTTCGTTTGCACGGTGGAAACTTATCCTTCAAAACTTACCATGTCCAAGTAGAAGTAAAGATTTCCTCAGGCTGTTTATTCTGAAATATTGAAACCTAAAGAAACAGCTTTGATGTCCTACATGGAGCATCACTGCAAATGTTCGCTGTTGAGGGAAGGGAAGGAAGCCTTGGCCACAGCAAAGCCAGTGTGGCAAGACTGAAAAGGCCCCAGAACGACACTAATAGTCCTTGCTTTAAAAATATCGTCACATCCAGCCCTGACTTTGCTAGCTAATGCCTGCAGGTAGAAATTCTTTAACAGGTTGAGCTGTAACACTACGCCACCACTGTACATCACTGTTAAGACAAAGGAAGACAGAAGGATTATTGTGAGGATTGTACAGCTCTGGTGGGAGTGAACCCTGCTGTCCCCAAGGTACGAGGTGTCCCTCACTTGGCAGGATTAAGAGGTAAACAGACTGAGGGAAAAATAGGAGATGTGGGTACAAATCACAGTGATAGTATCAGAGATAAATCTGGGCTTCACTGAGATGAATTGAGGATCTGTATTTTGATTTAAAACAAGGGCTTTGGTGAGAAGAAGGTTAGCTGGGCTTGTGGGTAGGGTACTGTGCTAGGACTTGGGACCTGGGTTTTTGTCCAACCTTTACCCAGATATCTTGCATTACACTGGACAACATTAAACCTTTTCTGTAACTAACTGAGGTCTCTGTGAGGCTGCTACTTCTCTACTTCAAAGTCATGTTGTGGTAACAGAAGTCCATTGCCAAGTGGCAGATGTTCAATGGCCAATGATGAAGGTCAGAAAAGAACAGACACAACGACCAGCTTGCGTAGCAATCTCTGAATTTTTATTCAAGCTTCCTTAGGTGAAGTACAGATCCACAAGTGCCTATACATTAAATAAACCATGCTTTGTTCAGTTTGGTCATAAGATCAGTGCTCTTGAAGAGAGAAGAGTGACATGAAAAGGCCCATAGCTTGAAGCGACACATGCATTGCTGCAGTCATCAGAGTGCTGCAGCCTGGCGTATGCACGGACTGAACAGGCATGCCAGCAAAACTGCATCTGGGGCCCGAAAGAGCCGTAGGCAGCCGGCTCCTGCCATCAGTGAAGCCGCATCCCTCCCTGGTTGCAAAGGGAGCAGGATGTCCAGTGTGGAGGACAAGGACTGGCAAACCACTACACATCCGAACAGGCACATGGCAGCGAGACACTGCATACAGCAGCCACGGTGAATTAATTAATTATTCCTAACCACAACCATTCACAGCCAGGGAGACAGAGTGCCTCTCAGCAGCCACGCTTCTAAACATTACCAGCAAACAAAATGGGAAAAGGCCGTCATGTTTAGCTGAAAACAGCTGGTGTCCGAATGACTATCTTACATCCAGAGTGCACTAAATAATGAAATAAAACCTCCGTTGAGCTCAAGAGCATGGTTAGTGCGAAGGAAGGGCAGGCCGTTCTGATCTTTTATACTGATATCCGTGTCATGACAATTAACGCTGCTGTCCCCTGCTCTGCCCCTCCTGTCTGCTGCCCGGCTCTCTTCACATCTCAAAGGTATGACTGGTGCAGCTGGCCCAGGGAAGCCATCTTTACCCTGCATGTCTTCTTCAGAAACAAAAGGTGCAAAATATCGCTCAGCAAGGGTTTCCTCCAATACTCCTTTCATTTATTTCTTTTGTGCTTTCTGTCTTCAGCCTTCCTTAGAAACGTAATTCCTATTTCTGTCACAGCATCACCCTTCAGCCTGTCCCGGAGGAAGGTAACTTCTGCTGCTAAGTGAACCTAGAAAGAATCAGGTCGTATCAGTTAAGCAAAGAAATGCCCAGTTTTCCCCAGTATAACAAGCTTTTCCTCCCTCTCTTACCACAAGGGGACCCCCTTTCTCAGGTCTCATAAGAAACAGATTTCTAGATTGTTTTAAAATATCTTTCCCAACAAAGTTCACAAAAAGGAAGTTTATATACACTGCAATTTGTGTAATACATTACCCTTCATTCCAGTGCTTTGTTTTCTTCCAAGAACCTAAACTGTGTGCTTGATGATTCTGTGATCACAAAATTTCCTGGTCAGGTGCTAACACTTGTAATAATAATTAGTCTTATATTAGATACTATAATTCTGAGACTGATGTACATACATAATACTTGTACAGCTTTTGTTTTCTTGAAACATAAAATATATGACAAATTGGATACTGAGAGAAACATAAAGCAGCCCAAAAGTTATCTTCCAGAAAATACCACAGACGCTGTACAACTCAGTGACTTTCAAATTGTGCCCTTTGTTTATTCCTTCGAAAAAGTCTTAACTTTATAAACAAAATCTGGAATCCCATGTGATACACTTCCGATGCTTTGGTTTTAACATTATACACATCCACGTTTTGTTCCGCCTTTCAGCAGGCGCTGCGGTAACCTGAGAATATTATTTATCTTCACGTCTTTGGAAAGAATCAAGGATGGCTCTTACGGTTACACTTATGCAGGAAAGTAAGACAGGCTCAAGGAGCCACGGGGGAGTCCAGCATGCCCCGCTGGCTTTCCGCATTCCGTGCTGGACGGCTGCCCCGTCCCGCCTGGCTTTTGCACCTGAGTGAGCCACCGAAGAGCCAAGCAGGGACAGCGTGGAGGTGAACCAACCTCTGTGCTTCACTACCTCAGGATCCAGGAGCAGTGTGGCCCTCTTTGTATTTATAGACATTTAGTCTGAGAGAGAGATTCAACGTCACTTAATTTCCTTCATTTATCTGAGCAAGTGGGCTTGCCTTCCTCTGCGTATTAACAAAGAATGGAGACAACAGACGTGCACTTCCTTACCATTTCCAAGGCACCTCGAATCACCCCGCAGAGGAGGTTACAGTAGCAAAGTGATGCTCGTTCTGCTGGCAGCTCCTCCACAAAGTCCACTAGCGGGTTTTTGTCCAGGATTAAGGAGAATTCATTTCCTGCGGCACTACTGCAGCTCACCCTAGGGGTGACCCCAAGGTACATCTTGAAAGCAACCTGCAAAAGGATGAAACTCTGCTCCTTGAATCTGTCATGTGCAAACCAGAGGGGAAACTTTAGGATGCAGCATCCTGTAGGCCAGATTTACCCCAGGAAAGTAGGGGGAAGGGCCAGACAGGCTGGAAATCAAACTAGATTTGTCTCTTCTGTGACCAGTTTGAGCCAGAGATGCAAATCTGAAGCTATGTGATAGTCCAGGGAAGTAGAGCAGAAGGCTGCTTATTTTGTCTTTGATGTTCCTACATTCACAACCCCCATACAAAGTGGTTTTACTGTTATCACCCATCTGCTTTCAGTCAAGTCACACGCCCCTGGGACCATTAACGTCTATATTAGGTCCTTCACTACATTGCTGGCAACTTTGATAATCACAGCTCAAGAACTCCTGCAACTGGTGAGTGTGTGTTTTCACTCTGATCTCCATCTGCAGTCAGAAAAAAACAACCACCCACCAAGACGACGACTGCCAAGACTGCAAACTTACTTGATTATACAGAGCATTGCTTGCTTTCCTTCCACTACTGATGAACGTTACTGTAAATGTGCAACATCTGCTCTGCTAATGGAGGGGTCCCCTGTGAGCGTGTTTCTCCAGACAGTGACATCACGGCATTATCTAGACAGCGCATACGCAGGCAGGCTAGCGGCAGGCTGTTCTTCCTCCGGAGAGCTCGCCCCTGCTACACCACTACAGACTGCACGACCAAAGATAAAAGTGTCTTGATTTTTACCTCTTTAGTGAGCATCAAACATGGATGGTTTCCAAACAATCCTGAAATTCTTTATGAACCGGAAGACCGCTATAGGTTACAGTTTTATGGCGCTGCTGACAATGGGAGGTGAACGTGTGTTTTCTCTTGTTGCTTTCAGATGCCCCTGCAGCAACGAAAACTTCAGGTACGGTTTGGTATTTCTCTTCTCCCCAGCTTTTGTTTTGCTAGTTATTGGATATTTTTTGAACAGCAAGACCTGGAAACTCTTTACAGGCTGCTGGGTGAATCCCAGAAAAATATTCCCCAGAGGGAATATCTGCCATTTCTTTTACATCTTCGGACAAATCACTTTAAATGCTCTGGTAGCCCCAGTGATGTGGCTTTCTGTGGCTTTGCTCAACGGGACTTTTTACGAATGTGCCATGAGTGGCTTGAAAAATCCTGCCTACTTACATGCAGTTTGCCACAGCAAATCTGCAAAGTGCTTTGAAGAGCTACACAAGGTAGCCTGTGACAAAAGCTCCATGCCCTTTTCAGAGAGCGACGAACTGAAACGAACGCTTCAAGCACAGTCCCAGGTAAGAAAAATAAATAAAGAGCATTATGCAGTTTGTACTGCTGCTGTGATTGATCTGTGGGAGATCCTGATGTCAGATGCTAAGACAAAACCGTTGGTTTCATCTAAACAAAGTTTTGGCATGATGCAGCCTTGGACAATACAATCAATCCATCTTTTAGTTCTGTTTGAGCTATGCCATACGTCCTGGGGGCCCCACTGACAGAAGGATCAAAAAGACCAGATAACTTAAAGCTTTCTTCCTGAATGAAGATTGCTCTAAAGAGAAAAACTACTGGATTGTTTAGGAGGCTGAATTAACAGATGTCACCCTATTAAAGGGGTCTGTCCTATTAAAAAATCCATACCACACTCTCCTATTTTATACCATCATGAAAACTATAATGAAATTTTAGGTCACTAACATTAGAAAAATGCTGGAAACTAAGATTTGTGACTGCTTACACAATATGTTTCTGTTTGTGTTCTTCATGTTCATGATGCCAGATGAGAGCATGTTTATTTCCTGCTTGGAGGAAGGAAGAAACCCTAAAATAAAACAAGCAGAACATGCAAAACTGAGATTGTATTACATTTTACTATATTCGTGTGATACAGTTCTGCTCACTGCCTTGTAACGTAAATAAATTCAGAGACAAATAATCAAAACAAAGGGGGGAAGAAAGCTAAAGAAAATGATGGAAAGATGATTGTCAGCAGG